AAATAATCAAATAATTTGTCTATATAATCAAATAATTTCTTGGAAATTTGAATACAAAATATTATTTTAAAAATTGGTCAAGGATTAATAATTTCGCTTTATAATCCCTACCGACCCTACTCCTCTACGACCAGTATAAATATACGGGCACTAAATAACTGGCACTGATAGTTGATCATATAACTGCAGGTTTCTGAGAGCGAACTCAACGACGAGCAAATAGCGATTCTGTTGCAAAATGAAGAATTCCTCGTGCAGCTGCGCAAAAACGAACAATTTCTCTCCACCTTGGATAAAGGCACGTTAAGTACCTACTCTTTTTACATTATACCTATAGACTATAAGCTTGATTTAATTTATATTATGGTATAGCGACGTATTGTACAAGAAATAATTCGATGGCGTATAGCCGTATAGGTACGTAGCCAGGAGGGGGGGGAGCTGACATTTTAGGATAATTTAAGTGTTCTCTGTGAACGAATTAATTACCTATATAGCTTACATTGATTAATACAATTTATGTAGCAAACTTTTTATGAGGGATGGTGATCTTTCCCAATGTAATAAATTATTCTCTATATAATTACACTCCCGAACAATACCTAAACATATACATAGTGATTCACCAAACATAGCTACTCACGACTAACCTCTATGGCTCTATTTTACGTTAATAACAAAATATCACTTATGGGTTGGGTTGCATYATTTACCTTTCATTATACATTTATACAAAGATTTTACGCATTTGATGTCTCCGTCTTACAAGTGCGTAACGTGGCGAATTCTCGCTCAGCAGATCACATCGTGTATAGCTTCGTGTTAGTTTAATCATTAGATTATTAGAGCGAATCGGCCTCTTATGAAACTTGATTGTAAGAACATTATCTGTGTTTTTACAAGGGTTGTTTTCGATGATTTAGTTTTTAAATAAGTTATGGTAATTTTTAATTTCAAGTTTTATAAAAGGTCGATCCACTCAAATTTTGAAACTTATAAACGTGATCTGTTGAGCTTAATTTTGCCATGTTACGCTCTCTTATTAACTCAATAACATCACGCTTACATAGGCGTAATTTCAATAAAAAAAAACTAAAGGTGCTAAGCATTTTCTCATTTAACTTTTACAGTAAGAAGTTTTTGTTACATAAATACGAACATTATTTGAGGTGCTAATTTTGAAATTGGGAGTGCTAATACCCTCCAAGCCCCCCTATTTACGCCTATGCTCGTTTGAATATTTCGTTTAGATCCATCAGAATTTTCAAAAAAAAAAAATCCTCTACTTAACAATCACAATTACAGTGAAAGAGGTCGATTCTAAATGTTTGAATAAATGCGTTATTAAAAATTAATATAAACCTGAGATTTGGTAGATCATCTTGTTCAGTATGATGCTTGAATCTTACGATATTTGAGTCGAAAGTATAGCATGTTTGTGTTTCAACAGACAGTCCTATTGAAGAACAAAAGTTCTTCGTCCCAAATCAGATACACGGTGACGAGGATGCTGCATTTAAAGAAAGGTTAAAAAATATGGGGAAAGGTATGAAAATAATAATGATATACATTTTTTTGTCAAAATATTAAAGTTAAAAATTAAGTATTATAGATTATGAAATACACATAGAATTTTATTAACAAACCAAATGATATTAATAAAATTATTCTATAGCTTCCAGGAAGAAATTTATCCAGATTGCACGAGTATTTACCGGAAAAAAGAAGAAAAGCACGGCACGCAATATAATGAATCAAGGAGATACTCACACAAAAGACAATTTATTTCTACATGAAGAAGAACACTGAAACAAATATTTTACTTGTTGTTAATTGTTTAGAAAATATTWTTTTCTTTTACATTCAATCATGTTATTGTTTTTACCATTTAGAATAATATAGAAAGTGTTAAATAATATAGGTTAGAATTAAGTTAATAAAATATAACAATTTATTTAAAATAACAGTTGTTCTAAGTAATTTTCAAAATCATCCTCTCTTGGTTTTTCATCGTCTATTTGTAACTGTTCACTCCAAACATTATCTTCAATTGCTAGCTTAGATGTTACTGGTGATTCACTCTGGACGCCAGTAGTTGGTCGACYAATGGATTTTTCGCGTTCTTTGTTGGAATGTTTTGATTTATCTTTTTTCGATTTGGAAATTTGACGCTTGACTTCTTTCTTTTTATGTTTATAATTCAATTTATTGGAGCAATCCATACACAACCCTGAATATATTTAGATATCAACAAAAATTGCATATAATTATTACTTATAAGTAAGACATACTTAGTTTGACCAGTGTGTTTTTTGATACAGAGTGTTCCATGTAATTAAAATTTACTTCCCATGTCCGTAGATGTGATGTTTCATTACAAATTTTATTGCCACAAATGAACTGACCTTTACCACTGACCAATTCACTTTCAGTTTGCCAACGCATTGCTACCTACATAATAAATAATATTAGGTTAGCATAAAACAAATAATTTACAATTTTATAATAAACATCTAATATACTTTAAACAGATGACCAACATTTTTTTATGATTTTAAAAGAATATATTTATTATCTGTAAATGGTTACAATACAATAAGTAAAAGTTAAGTTTGATTATGGAGGTATTGACTTGAGTAAAAAGACTGTCATTCAGAGACGCCACTTAAAATTTTAAAACWCTTTAAGATTTTTTTAYTATCATTATTTATTTAAGATGTATTTTGGCCGGTAGTATTTTAGATGGCATGAGGGGTTTATTAGAAATTGGAGATCAATGGATTCTGGTGGTTTATTGTAGTGCTGAGAATTATTATGATCAATCCAGATTCATGAATTCAATCCATTGATTTGGATTTTYGAATCCAATTCGCTTTCAGTAATTTTTTWAATTTTTTAGTAAAATATATATTTTGTGAGTAATTCAAGGATTATATAGTTAMATATTTAGATAAATAAAATAATAATAATATTGTTTTCAAAATGCTTAATAATCCGGATWGGATATTTTAAGCTGGATCAATCCATATCCGGATATGGATTGATCCGCTTTTGAAACTCATCACTAGACTTTGYTGTGGCAGTGTGGAATATGATAAGGATAGTTCAACCTTAARCCTTAACCACTAGTTTAACCTTTTATTTTTAAATTGTTGTGTARACTTGTACCCAAGRTAAACTATTGATTGAAAAAATTGAAGAATATTTATATTTTGACCAACCTTAGATTTTTTATATAAACTCAAGTCACAAATGCAATATTCTTTGAACAACTTGTCATAATACTTCTTAGCCAATTTCTGCTCCCAAGTGAAAACTTCATCGTCTTCTTCCCATACAAACTTGTGATTTTCCTGTATAACATCGAAATCACGTTTTTCACGTCTGAAACAAAAAACCAAGATAATAGCTACCATAAGCCAATTCTCCAACTCAAGAATCAACATACTTTTTTAAATCAACAAATTTGCAATACTCTAGATACTTGTCCAATAATTCTTTGTGCAATTCAAACGGTTGTAGAGCATTTAATTTTTTTTTATCCATACTGTATTAGTACCTATTAACTATTTAATTCTTATAGTTATACAAACGAACAATGATTTGGAGTCGCAAAGTTCATATAATTGGTCCAACGAATTTTAGTTAGTAAAATTAAATAAAACAAATTCCATTTTTTATATAAACTAAWAATCGGTATCTCTAGAGAAATTTYAAACCGTTTGATTGCAATAAGTAGCRAGTTGCGTTGAATTATAGTTCATAATATTCATTATATTTACCAAAAGGATGTTTACATTCAAATTTAAAATAATAAATACCTATAGGCTATATTAGGATAAAACGTTGAACGAATCCTCTCGGCTCTCACTACTTTAGTCACTAAAATACTATAAAATATGTAGAAGTAGATAGGTCTTATCACAACAATAATAATAAGAGATAGGGGTACTTGTCCCGATAATAATAAAAATACAAAAATTCAAAACGTGTTATCTATTTCGGTGTATTTACTATTATCACAGATTATATAAATATAATATATATTATATCTTAGATCATATACTAGTACAAGGTTAATATAAATAGATATAGATATAGATTATTTATATTAACCTTGATACTAGTATATGATCTAAGTATTATATAAATATATTTTATATAATCTGTGGTATTATCACAGACACGGAAAAATAATTATTAATTTATTATAGGTAAGCCGTAAGGTATATACATAATATAATATAGTGGTATTATTTACTTATTTTTAGATTCTGAGCGGAGCGATGAATGTAATGATTTTACCATGATGTGTGTTTTTATTTTTATTTTTTTTTTKTGTCTGTCATCACGTTTTGGGGCAGTAAAAGTGCTTCGATTTTTGACATCAGTACCTCGTTCGATCAGAAAGTGAATCTATTTGGTACTTTGGGGAGTCAAAAGTAAATAAATCTTGATATTTTTCTAAATAATTGTGATAAATAAACTAAAAATTAAGGGGAAAACGGGAAATTTTACGCACAATCAGTTTTCGACAAAATCGATTTTGGTTTTTGATGTAACTTTAAAACAAGTAGATAAATGAAATTTTCACCGAATGTTTATATAAGTATATTCAATTTTCAAAAATTTTCTACTTAAGTTGAACTATTCATAGGTATATGCAATTTTCGATTATTATTAGTTTTTTTTAAAATTAATATCGATAMAAATTTATTTGTTGGGTAGAAAAGCTTGAAAATGTAATACAAGGCTCTGAAGGCTCTTAACAAATTGTTACAATAACAATTGATAAATAAAAGAAATTTGTAATCACAATTTTTTTTTATAAGCATTCAAAGTTTTAAATACAATGCTCCTAATATATTTTTACAATAGCAGTTGAAAAATAAAAGAAATATATATAGTCACAAACAATTTTTTTTATAAGCATTCAAAGTTTGAATTTTGACAACATACGTAAAAATCACGAAAATTCGTAATCTATTTTATGTTAGAAATTCATAAAAAGTTTTCCTTTTACATCTAAGATTTGAAAATTTAACACAAGGCTACTAAAATATATCCTAATACTTTTCTAAATAATCGAGAAAAACAAACTAAAAATTAAGGGAAAAACCGGAAATTTTACGCACACTAATTTTTCGACAAAATCGATTTTGGTTTTTGATGTAACATTAAAACGAATGACCATAGATACATGAAATTTTCACCAAATGTTTATATCAGTATATTCTATCCATCATGCAATTTTCAAAAAATTTCGACTTAAGTTAAACTATTCATAGGCATTTGAAATTTTCGATCATTATTAGTTTTTTTTAAATTTAATTAATTTTTTTTATCGATAAMAATTTATTTGTTAGGCAGAAAAGCTTTAAAAATTAATACAAAGCTCTTAACATATAGTTACAATAGCAGTTGAAAAATAAAA